ACAGATGCCATTAAGCGTGTGCATGGGTTGAGCTCTTCTATCAAGTTCACCAAATAACTCTATTTGCTACAGAAGTATAATGCTCTGAAAGAAGAGCCAAAGCAGCAGTTTTGCATTCCTCCTCTTAGATAGTGTGCACAGAAGGGCAAACCTGAGTTTCTGGAGGCAAATTTTGGCAGAACATCTCCACTAAGCACAACTGAAGTAATCTACAATCCTTTTGCATATTGTCCTGCATTTTGTTCATTTTGTTCATTAAATGAATGTACAAATATAGAAGTTTCTATTTGACATGATTAAGATGATGAAAGAAACTTGTCGTATGGAAACGAGGTAATGCTCATTTATTCATAAAATTCAGGGATAACATGTAGCTGGACAAATGTCCACATATATCCATGCTGAAGTCCTTTTTCCGCAGCTTAAATTTGGATTAAAATTATTCACGTTGGAGAAAACACCCCACAAACTTGGATGGAGAATGCAGTGAAGATTCAACACTTAAGAATGCTGAAAAAATATATCTGAGAAGTGAAAAAGAATTCATGCATGCAAGACCTCAAAGCAGTCCTGTTCTTTCAATAAACAGAAAGAATTGCACTTGAGAATTAAATGAAATCGGCTTGTGTTCCTGCTACTTTTTCTTATTTACAACAATCTATATCATTATATTAGAAACTAAGTGAGAGGATTAGCTCATCATTTGGAGTATCATCTGCGTCATGAAGTCATTCTAGATAATGTATGTTCAAGAATAACACGAAAGATAGAGCACCTTCAGAAGGTGATCATTTTACAGTTTATACATGATTGAATTGACGACATTAAAAAATTCAAGAATCAACCAATTCGATTCCATACCAAGCTATATCTCCCTCAACAAATACTATAATAGCAAAAAAATAAAATAACAAAAAAGAAACCGGGCAAAATGAGAAAAAGAACATATTTCAGCTTGGTATGGAGTTTCAGATGGCTGCAGCAATTATAAATCTCAGCTTAAGTAGGGTTCGAGTTAATTGAACCAATAATGACTAAACTTAGGTGACATCTTTAATTGCTTCTACACTTTAAGATGTCCAATTTTGACCTATATTCAATTTTGTTTCGCAACTCTGAGGAAATAGCTTCCCTGATGTTAGGCAATTTGTTGTCAACGACCTCTCTGGGCGATGATGAAAGTCTCGGTTGTTTTTTATCCAGTCGGCATTGGACAATTGACTGAATATATATCGACACCACAAATTATGGAACTATCCACGTTACCAACTTGGGCCATT